TATCTCATTTTACTACGGTCCCTTTGAGCAGAGGAAAATATCCCTATATTGAGTATATTTCCTCACATAGACTAATAATTGTACAAGAGCGTTATCAGGGTACTTCTTGACATAACAAAGTATGTCTCGAGTGCATTTCAAATGTAATTCATGACGAAAAACGTTTGTTTTTTTTACATGCACATCATTTTTTAGACTAAGGAAAATGTATGTACTCCAAGATTAACTCGCTTTGCGTGTCATGAATTTATACACAGTTTAAACCGAATATTATTCAATGAATTACACGAGCACAAGAAACAAATGAAGTACTTTAATAATTCTTATTAACTGTTTTAATTTGATATCACATTTATTCATAAATAAGTAATATTCTATAAATTTAGATTTACAAAGGAACCATATCCGTATGTACAAGTGTATATCTAGAATACAGTTGCTGATCTACGAATTATTGCCCTAATTCCAATAGGGAAAATAACATGTCAATACGTTGACGATTGAAATGGTGTGTACAAATGTCTTCCAGTCATAAAATACATTATTAGTTTCAGGATATACATGTATCTTTAATTCAGAATTCAGCCAATCTTAAAATCCAGAGTGGTTACATAAACACAGCATGAGTGAACAAGCTGAAAGGTCTCACCTGATTTATTTATGTTTGAATTTATATTAAAAGTCTTTAATATAAATGTCTCACTACAAATTTAAAATAATCATGAAAATGAGATCACGTTCAAATGAACCATGCCAGACCGATATGCACATCTAATAAACATCTCATTGCAAGGAACATATATAGTTATCATATTACTCATAATAAGTGAATATTTTGCAATTTGTTTTTCAAGCAGTCAATAAGTAATGAACCAACGGCAATGGACATATGTCAGACGGAATCTTCGTAACATAGGAAGAAGTGCATACAAGATATGAATCATCCAGGTATTCTACCTTCTGAAATATAATTGTACTCCCAATGTCGCAAATTTCGTCGCAGACGAGACAAAAAAAAAACAACAATGCGAACATCGATCAGATATTCAAAAAGCGTGAACAGTATGCCATTCTTACTTGTCCTGTAGAAAGTTTTATTCCAATTTAAAAAGGTATTTTCATAGAGTTTATAAGCAGTTCATGTATCTTGTTTATTTTGTTCTGTTTAAATTGAAAAATCATGGAAACATTAATTTTTCAACAATTTGCATTTTAATTTTCGTCTTTCATTAACACAACAAAAAATCATAGATTTCCGTAAAAGCCCTATAATTATGATAAACCAGAATTAAAACATCATACAATTCATTTTGCAAACATTTTCCATTGCAACATAAGCACATTCAACAACAAATGCATATCTCTTAACAATAGTACAACTTTCAACAAAAAATGCTCATCTCTTAATAACATTACATCCTTCAACAACAACAGCACATCTATTAATAACAGTACAACATTTAACAATAAAAGCACATCTCTTAATAACTGTACAACTTTCAACACGAAAAAGTACATCTCTTCATCATAACTCACTTTTTTTAAAAATAGCATTTTGCTTTGCACCAGCTCATCTCTTTACAATATTAGCACAAATCTATGAACAGAATTATCATTATGTACAATAGTAGTACATCTCATGTCAACAAGATCACTTATTACATGTTCATCAGTTTGCTTCTACATCTTCTCACATCATGAGCATATATCCTTACAGTATAAGCATATCTATTAAACTCAAAAACATAATCTGTAAGTTTGGAAATTAATGCGCACTTTTATTATTGCGAATCACTGATCACTGGTAAACATGTTAATTCTAATGAATGCGATAGCAAAACTTTTGTGAAGGAGTTTTTATCATTGGTCCTAAATACTGTCGCATGTTTCGAATATATAAAAATATTGCAATAAGTTTAAGAATCTACAGTATTTTACAAAACTATCAAATCTCTACAACAATATATATTTTCATAATTTCAGAATGCTAGTTACTATCTTCAAAACAGTAGAATTTTACTGTATACTGTCAGAACATTTTTGACCACGGTAGCATAGTGCTTTATAATGTCAGAAAACATCTTAATAACAATAAGATACTGCTGTTTGCTGCCATAATACATCTCACAACAGAAGCATAATACTTTAAATGTCTGAATTTATTTTACATAGAAACATATAGCTTTATAATAACAGAATGCATTTTTTCAACAGTAGCGTATTGCTTTATTGTTTAAATGTTCTTTTTCAAAAGGTGATTTATTACTATCATAATACTGAAAAGTAGCTTATAGCTTTATAATGTTTATCTTTATTAAAGTAGCATATTGCTTTATTGTCAAAATTCTTCTTTAAAAGATAAAGTATAACTAAAACAATGGTAGCATATTGGTTAATAATATGTAAGAACATATCTTTACAATAGTTGAATTTTACTTTATAATGTTAGAATACATCTTTATGAAAGTAGCATATTGCTTTATTGTCAAAATTTCTCTTTAAAAGACAAAGTATGACTAATACAATAGTAGCAAATTGGTCAATTATATGTAAGAACATATCTGTACAATAGTTGAATTTTACTTTATTATATATTATTTAGAATACATCATTATCAAAATAGCATATTGCTTTATTGTCAAAATTCCTCTTTAAAAGACAAAGTATGACTAATACAATAGTAGCATATTTGGTCAATAATATGTAAGAACGTATCTTTACAATAGTTGAATTTTACTTTATAATTTTAGCATACATATTTACAATAATTTCTTTTTTTGCTTTAAAATGCAAGAATTTTAACAATAGTATCTTATTGCTGTATAATTTCAGAATACATCATTACAACAGTTTTCTATTGCTTTATGATATCAGACTACGTCTTTGCAATAGTTTCTTATTACTTTATAATGTCGGACTTCATCTTTACAATTGTTTTATTTTGCTTTATAATGTCAAAATATATTTCACAATAGTTTTATATTGCTTTGTAATGTCATAATACATCTTTACAGTAGAAGCATATTGCTTTATATTGTCAAAAATCATTTTTAAAAGATAAATTATGACTAATACAATAGTAGTAGTAGATTGCTTTATAATAGAAGTATAGATCTTTGCAATAGTTTTGCAATAGTTTCATTTTACTTAATAATGATAGAATACATCTTTAAAATAGTTTGCTATGTATTATGTCATCTTGATAGTTTTTGTATCAACAATAAACATAATAAATACAATATTTATAAAGTGGATTATATAATAACAACGATTACTTTAAGCGCTTGACAAAATACAAAAAAAAAACAAACACATAAGACATAAAATAGAAAGCACTAACTAATTGCTTCATAATGTTTTTCAACAGTTTCGTATTTCGTAAATGTCAGAAAACATTTATCATGTTTATACAAGAGTTTCGTTTTGCTTTATAATGTCTGACAACCTTTTTGCAATAGTTTCATGGTGCTTTATAATATCAGACTACGTCTTTATAATAGTTTCTTACTACTTTATAATGTCAGACTACTTCTTACCAATTTTTCCTTTTAACGTACGAATATATCTTTAAAACACTTTCTTATTGTTTTATAATGGTAGCATACATATTTTCAATATTTTTCTGTTGCTTTATAATGTTAAAACATCTTTAAGATATTGTTATTATTTTTTATATTGATAGAATAGATATTTTCAATAGTTTTGTAATAGTTTCATTTTACTTAATAATGATAGAATACATCTTTAAAATAGTTTGCTATTTATTATGACATTTTGATAGTTTTTGTATCAACAATAAACATAATAAATACAATATTTATAAAGTGAATTATATAATAACAACGATTACTATAAGCGCTTCACAAAATACAAAAAAAAAAACAAACACATCAGACAAAAAATAGAAAGCACCAACTAAATGCTTCATAATGTCTTTCAACAGTTTCGTATTTCGTAATTGTCAGAAAGCATTTATCATGTTTATACAAGAGTTTCGTTTTGCTTTATAATGTCTGACAACCTCTTTGCAATAGTTTCATGGTGCTTTATAATATCAGACTACGTCTTTATAATAGTTTCTTACTACTTTATAATGTCAGACTACTTCTTACCAATTTTTCCTTTTAACATACGAATATATCTTTAAAACAGTTTCTTATTGCTTTATAATGTTAGCATACATACTTTAAAAATTTACTGTTGCTTTATAATGTTAAAACATCTTTAAGATATTGTTTTTATTCTTTATATTGATAGAATACATCTTTTCAATAGTTTTCTATTGCCTTAAGTTGTTAGAATACATTTTTACAATAGATTCATTTTATTTGAGAATGAAACAATAGCTTATGATTGCTTTATAATGCAGGAATGTATCTTAACAATAGTTTCTTAATGCCTATTATTGTAAGAACGCATATCTACTATAACTTTTGTATTGCTTTTATAATATTAGAAGACATCTTTACAATAGTTTCTTTGTGTTTAAAAATGTCAGAATATATCTTAACAATAGTTTCTGGCTGGTTCAAAATGTCATAATACATCTGAACAATAGCTGCATTTTGCTTTATAATATTGGAATACATCTTTACACTAATTTCATTTTGTTATTTATCATAGTAAAAATAGTTTCTTTTTGCTTTAAAATATATCAGAATCCATCTTTATAATAGTTTCATTTTGCTGATAAATGTCAAACAAATCTGGCTAACAACATCTTACTTTTTTATGTGACCATGTATATAAGCCTTCATTGCAGGTGACTAACCCCTACTGTCACGTGTATTACAGTTTACCCCTCTGTCTACCAATATCTTTATTATATTTGTATGACTTTGTTCACAAACCTTCATTACAGATGACTGGCCATATATATTTTTCACACTTATAATTGTCTGCTCTTTGTCTTACAACACCTTTTTTTTTGTTTATGATCATGTTTGCAAGTACTTCATACAGGTGACTGACCACAATTATCGCATTTATTACAGCCTCTATTTCTGTTTAACATTTTTATTATTTTTGAACGACCATGTGCACAAGCCTCAACCAAATTATTACATTTATTCATTTCATCTCCTTTGTCAAATATTCTATTAAAATAGTGTTTAGAAGTAAACCTACCATGTTCATCACATTTATTACAGTATTCTCCTTTGTCCGACAACATCTTTATAATTTCTTTATGACCATGTTCACAAGCCTTCATTACAGGTGAAATGCCATCTCTGTCACATTGTTTATAGTCTGCTCCTTTGTCTAACAACATTTTAACTATTTCTGGTATTACCATATTCACAAGCCCTCATTACCGGTGAACCGCCATATTTACCACATTCATGATAATCTGCTCCTATGTTTAACAAAATCTTTAATATTTCAGTATGACCATATTTACAAGCCTTCATTACAGGTGAATTGCCATAGTGGTCACAATTTGTATAGTTTGCTCCTTTTTCTAACAACATTTTATTTATTTCTATATTACCATTTTTACAAGCCTTCATTATCGGTGAACCGCCAACTGAACAACATTTATTATAATCTGCTCCTTTGTCTAACAAAATGTTTACTATTTCTGTATGACCATGTTTGCAACCCGTCAGAACAGGTGAATCACCATTACGATCTCTTTTATTATAATCTGCTCCTTTGTCTAACAACATGTTTACTATTTCTGTATGACCATGTTTACAAGCTATACCTAGAAGTGAATTACCGTTTTCATCACGTTCTACTCCTTTGTTTAAAAACAACTTTACTATTTCTGTATGACCATGTTCACAAACCATTATTACAGGTGACTGGCCACAATTATCACATTTAATGCAGTCTACTTCCCTTTCTAACAACATTTTCACTATTTCTGTATGACCTTGTTTACAAGCTATCATTACAGATGAAAAACCGCTATTGCTCAATTTATTACAGTCTGCTTCTCTCTCTAATAAAATCTTCACTATTTCCGTATGACCATGTTTACAAGCCATTAGCAAAGGTGACTTACACAACTTGTCACATTTATTACAGTCTGCTCCGCTGTCTAACAACATCTTTACTATTTCTGTATGACCATTTTCACCAGCCATTAGTACAGGTGACTGATCATCAATGTTACATTTATTACAGTCTGCTCCTCTCTCTAACAACATCTTCACTATTTCCGTATGACCATGTTCACAAGCCATTAGCAAAGGTGACTTACACAACTTGTCACATTTATTACAGTCTGTTCCGCTGTCTAACAACATCTTTACTATTTCTGTATGACCATTTTCACCAGCCATTAGTACAATTTATTACAGTCTGCTTCTCTCTCTAACAACATCTTCACTATTTCCGTATGACCATGTTCACAAGCCATTAGCAAAGGTGACTTACACAACTTGTCACATTTATTACAGTCTGCTCCTCTGTCTAACAAAATATTTACTATTTTTGTATGACCATTTTCACCAGCCATTAGTAAAGGTGACTGATCATCCATGTTACATTTATTATAGTCTGCTTCTCTACCTAACAAAATCTTCACTATTTCCGTATGACCATGTTCACAAGCCTTTAGTATAGGTGAGTTACTCCACTTGTCACATTTATTACAGTCTGCTCCTCTATCTAACAATATCTTTACTATTTCTGTATGACCGTGTTCACAAGCCATTATTACAGGTGACTGATCATCTATGTTATATTTATTACAGTCTGCTCCTCTGTTTAACAAAATCTTCACTATTTCAGTATGACCATGTTCACAAGCCATTAGTATAGGTGAGTTACTCCACTTGTCACATTTATTACAGTCTGCGCCTCTGTCTAACAAAATCTTCACTATTTCTGTATGACCATGTTCACAAGCCATTACTACAGGTGACTGATCATCACTATCACATTTATTACAGTCTGCTCCTTTGTCTAGCAACATCTTTATTATATCTTTATAACCGTGTTCACAAGCCATCATTACAGGTGAATCATCCCACTTGTCAATTTTTTTATAGTCTGCTCCTCTGTCCAACAACATATTTACTATTTCTGAATGACCTTTTTGACAAGCCATCAGTATGGGTGACCGCTCATCAATGTCACATTTATTACAGTCTGCTCCTTTTTCTAACAACATCTTTACTATTTCTGTATTACCATGTTTACAAGCCTCCGTTACAGGTAACCGACCATATTGATCACTTTCACATTATTATAATCTGCTCCTTTGTCTAACAACATGTTTACTATTTCTGTATGACCATGTTTACAAGCTATACCTAGAAGTGAATTACCGTTTTCATCACGTTCTACTCCTTTGTTTAAAAACAACTTTACTATTTCTGTATGACCATGTTCACAAACCATCATTACAGGTGACTGGCCACAATTATCACATTTAATGCAGTCTACTTCCCTTTCTAACAACATTTTCACTATTTCTGTATGACCTTGTTTACAAGCTATCATTACAGATGAAAAACCGCTATTGCTCAATTTATTACAGTCTGCTTCTCTCTCTAATAAAATCTTCACTATTTCCGTATGACCATGTTTACAAGCCATTAGCAAAGGTGACTTACACAACTTGTCACATTTATTACAGTCTGCTCCGCTGTCTAACAACATCTTTACTATTTCTGTATGACCATTTTCACCAGCCATTAGTACAGGTGACTGATCATCAATGTTACATTTATTACAGTCTGCTCCTCTCTCTAACAACATCTTCACTATTTCCGTATGACCATGTTCACAAGCCATTAGCAAAGGTGACTGACACAACTTGTCACATTTATTACAGTCTGCTCCGCTGTCTAACAACATCTTTTCTATTTCTGTATGACCATTTTCACCAGCCATTAGTACAGGTGACTGATCATCAATGTTACATTTATTACAGTCTGCTTCTCTCTCTAACAACATCTTCACTATTTCCGTATGACCATCTTCACAAGCCATTAGCAAAGGTGACTTACACAACTTGTCACATTTATTACAGTCTGCTCCTCTGTCTAACAAAATATTTACTATTTTTGTATGACCATTTTCACCAGCCACTAGTAAAGGTGACTGATCATCCATGTTACATTTATTATAGTCTGCTTCTCTACCTAACAAAATCTTCACTATTTCCGTATGACCATGTTCACAAGCCTTTAGTATAGGTGAGTTACTCCACTTGTCACATTTATTACAGTCTGCTCCTCTATCTAACAATATCTTTACTATTTCTGTATGACCGTGTTCACAAGCCATTATTACAGGTGACTGATCATCTATGTTATATTTATTACAGTCTGCTCCTCTGTTTAACAAAATCTTCACTATTTCAGTATGACCATGTTTACAAGCCATTAGTATAGGTGAGTTACTCCACTTGTCACATTTATTACAGTCTGCGCCTCTGTCTAACAAAATCTTCACTATTTCTGTATGACCATGTTCACAAGCCATTACTACAGGTGACTGATCATCACTATCACATTTATTACAGTCTGCTCCTTTGTCTAGCAACATCTTTATTATATTTTTATAACCGTGTTCACAAGCCATCATTACAGGTGAATCATCCCACTTGTCAATTTTTTTATAGTCTGCTCCTCTGTCCAACAACATATTTACTATTTCTGAATGACCTTTTTGACAAGCCATCAGTATGGGTGACCGCTCATCAATGTCACATTTATTACAGTCTGCTCCTTTTTCTAACAACATCTTTACTATTTCTGTATTACCATGTTTACAAGCCTCCGTTACAGGTAACCGACCATATTGATCACTTTCATTGCAGTCTGCTCCTCTGTCTAACAACACCGTTACTATTTCTGTATGACCATGTTTGCAAGCCTCCGTTACAGGTAACCGACCATGTGGATCACATTTATTACAGTCTGCTCCTTTGTCCAACAACATTTTAACAATTTCTATATTACCATGTTCACAAGCCGTCATTACAGGTAACTGGCCACAATTATAACATCTATTATAGTCAGCTCCTTTGTCTAACAACATCTTTACTGTTTTTGTATGACCATTTTTGCAAGCTTCCATTACAGATGAACGGCCGTGTTCATGACATGTGTTACAGTGTGCTCCTTTGTCTAACAACATCTTTACTATTTCTGTATATCCATATTTCAAAGCCATCATCACAGGTGACTGATCCAGCTTGTTACATTTATTATAGTAAACTCCTCTATCTAACAATATCTTTACTATTTGTGTACGACCAGCTTCACAAGCTGTAAATAGAGGTGACTTCCCATTCTCGTCACATCTATTATAGTCTACTCCTCTGTCTATCAATACCTGTACAATTTCTGTTTGACCATTTCCACAAACCATCTGTAAAGATGACTGACCCCACGTGTCAAATTTGTTGGAGTCTGCTCCTCTGTCTAACAACATCTTTACTATATCTGTATGATCATGCTCCAAAGCCGTCATAATAAGTGTTTGATCGTCACTGTCTGATTTATGACAGTCTGCTCCGTGGTCTAATAACATACTAACTATTTCCGTATGACCTTGTTCACAAGCCATCATGATAGGTGACTGATGGTCATCGTCATATTTATTACAGTCTGCTCCTCTGTCTAGCAACATCTTTACTATTTCTATATGACCTTGTTTACAAGCCTTCATTATAGGTGGTTGACCATCCCTGTTACATGTATTACAGTCTGCACCTCTGTCTAACAATATCTTTACTATTTCTTTATGACCTCGTGCACAAGCCATCATTACAGGTGACAGACCCCACAGGTCACATTTATTACAGTCTGCTTCTTTGTCTAACAACATCTTTACCATTTCAGAATGACCTTGTTCACTAGCCTTCATTAAAGGAGACTGATGATAGTAATCGTCACATTTATTACAGTCTGCTCCTTTGTCTATCAACATCTTAACTATTTCTGTATGACCATGTTTACAAGCCTTCATTATAGGTGACTGATCATGCCTGGTACATTTATTACAGTCTGCTCCTCTATCTAGCAACATATTTACTATTTCAACATAACCATGTCTACAAGCTCTCATTACAGGTGATGTGTTTTCACTGTCACATTTATTACAGTCTGCACCTCTGTCTAACAATATCTTTACTATTTCTTTATGACCTCGTGCACAAGCCATCATTACAGGTGACTGACCCCACAGGTCACATTTATTACAGTCTACTCCTCTGTCTAATAATATCTTCACTACTTCTATATGACCTCGTTTACAAGCCTTCATTATAGGTGTCTGGTCTTTACTCTCACATGTATTACAGTCTGCTCCTCTGTCTAGCAAAATCTTAACTATTTCAATATGACCTTGTTTACAAGCTCTCATTACAGGTGAATGGCCTTTACTGTCACATTTATTATAATCTGCTCCTTTGTCTAGCAATATCTTTACTATTTCTATATGACCTTGTTCACAGGCCTTCATTACAGGTGACTGGTCATCTCTGTCACATTTATTACAGTCTGATCTTCTATCTAGCAACATCTTTACTATTTCTACATGACCTTCTTCACAAGCCTTCATTAAAGGTGACTGGTCATCTCTGTCACATTTATTACAGTCTGCTCTTCTATCTAGCAACATCTTTACTATTTCTTCATGACCTTGTCCACAAGCTATCAATACAGGTGACTGATCCCCTTTGTCGCATGTATTACAGTCTGCTCCTCTGTCTAGCAAAATCTTTACTATTTCTGTATGACAATGTTCACAAGCCTTCAGTACAGGTGATTTACCCAGCTTGTCACAATTATTACAGTCTGCTCCTTTATCTAACAACATCTTTACTATTTCTATATGACCGTGTCTACAAGCCATCATTACAGGTGACTGATCTTCACTGTCACATTTATTACAGTCTGCTCCTATTTCTAACAACATCTTTACTATTTCCATATGACCTTGTCCACAAGCCTTCAGTATAGGTGGTTGATCATCAACATCAAATTAATTACAATCTGCCCCTTTGTCTACCAACATCTTCGCTGTTTCTGTATGACCATTTTTTAAAGCCATCATTACAGGTGACTCACCCCATTGGTCACATTTATTACAGTCTGCTCCTTTGTTTACCAACATCTTTACTACTTCTGTATGATCATGTTTCAAGGCCAGCATTACAAGTGACTCACCTAATTTGTTACATTTATTATAGTCTACTCCTTTGTCTAAGAGCATCTTTACTATTTCTGTATGACCTTGTTCACAAGCCTTCATAACAGTTGACTGACCACGTTCATTACATGTCTTAAAGTCTACTCCTCTGTCTACCAACATCTTTACTATTTCTGAATGACCCTGTTCACAAGCCTTCATTACAAGTGAATTACCAAACCGGTTACATTTATCATAGTTTACTTCTTTATCTAACAACATCTGAACTATTTCTGTGTGGCCTTGTTCACAAGCCCTCATAACAGGCGACTGATCATTATTGTCACATTTATTAAAGTCTGCTCCTCTGTCTAATAGCAACTTAACTATTTCTGTGTTACCTCGTCTACAAGCCGTCAGTACAGCAGATTGACCATAATCATCACACTTATTACAGTCTGCTCCTCTGTCTAACAGCATATTTACGATTTCTGTATGACCTTGTCTACAAGCCGTCTGAACAGGTGATTGACCATCATCATCACAATTATTATAGTCTACTCCATTGTCTAGCAACATAAGTAATATTTTTGTATGACCATGTCTACAAGCTGTCAGTACAGGTGATTGACCAGAACAATCACATTTATAACAGTCTGCGCCTCTGTCTAACAACATCTTTACTATTTCTATATGACCTTGTTTACAAGCCATTATCACAGGTGACTGACCATACCAGTCACATTTATCAAAGTCTGCTCCTTTGTCTAACAACATTCTAACTATTTCAGTATGACCATGTTCCGATGCAATCAATATGGATGACTGACCAGAATAGGTGCACCTGTTTACATTAACACAACGATTACAACACCAATGTAAGAATGAAATATCTCCTATATCACAACAATAGAATAAAGCAGTATCATAAATATCATCCTGATCTTGATTTTTTTTCTTAACTAACGAAATAGGAATTTTTGTTTTAAACTGATAATTTTCATCACAGATATTTGCCAGTTGTCTTTGGTAAGATATATCTAATATATTCAGATAGAAGAGAACTTTCTGTCTAAACTGTGGTATCTTCATATTGATGTTACTAAATACATCTTGTAATTTACCCTTTGACCAGTCGCCAATCATTCTATGTATGTACATCTTGTGATACGCTGGAGGTATTAAAGTAATAAATTGATCCATGTTGTCCTGTCTTTCTAATAAAAATCTTTCCTTTATTAACCCAATGTCTGCGTTCCTTATCAAGCAACCGATCATTTTTTGTCCATAAATCTTTGCAAGAAAGTCAAATATTTTATCATGTAAAATTTTATATATGTAATGTTCTTTCTTTATGAATGTATGTGTAAGTGAGTCAAGTTCATCTTGTAAAACAAGTCTTGATGTTCCCCTGCCTAATCTACATGCCTCACATGTGTTCTCTATGATAGTCCTTGTTTCTTCATTTACCTCTTCTGTCAATATATTTTTCTTCAACTTATTGTTAAACATGACACATAAAGCCAGAGCGCAGTATTTAGTGTAATGTCCTTTCTCAAAAAACTTATTAATCTCTGTTTCATAAACTAAAAATGGATTCTGAAAGAAATCTGTAATATCAGGTTTAGGACTATCATGGTACAATTTACATAATAGAGGAAAACAATCATATAAATTATAATAGCCGGTAATCTCTGAGGCTTTTGTTTTCAGATATAACTCTGCTAATGATTGTTTTTCAGTTTTTGATAAACACATGTTCTCTGATAACAGGTTACATACGCATGACTTAAAAACTGATAAAGATTTAAACTTTTCATCCTGGTACACTTGTATCCGACACGCAGCCAGAATTTTTGTTTGTTTCTTTTCCAAAATAATTTTTATATATTCAATGAATGGGTCCCATCTTTTAACGTCACTTTGGTCCATAGAAAAGTTTCCACATAAATCATCAAAAACAAACAAAGTTTTCTTATCAGGATTGTTATATTTCAAAATGTCACCAGGTTCCGTCACCATAAGTATATCATATCCTTCATCTACCATCTGTAAAGCCACGTGTCGAATTGTTGCTGTCTTCCCAACACCAGAACTACCTGTAATAGTTACACAACTGTGTTCCGTTATACATTTGAGAACATACTCAGCAGCTCCAGTCTTGATAAACATCTTGTCATCATTGTCCTTCCAGGTTTTGAGCATTTTTTCAATTCTTGCTGAAATATAATTTTTGGAAAATTAATAATATATGTATATAAAATATAATGTATTTAAGATTTGAATGCTTCTTTTTGTAAATTTATTTAGGTGTAAAAGCGTTGACCGAAGTACATTTTGTATGACGCGCGGAAACGCTTCATTCTTAAAACGTTCGTACGGTCAACGCTTTTACAACCATATAAAAAGTCCTTCAGCAAATGGCAAAATCAAAAGCTCAAACACATCAAACGAATGAATAACAATTGGTATATCACAAACGACAAAAAGTACGAATTTAAGAGTATTAACAGTTACTGAAAGTCAGGTCAAAGCCAATGACAACATTATTAATAAATATATATATTCTCTCAGAATACAGTATCAATCAGTAAATATCCAACAGATTAAGTGAATAGACAATCATAAACAGATTGAGAAAAACATGGGCGTAGGGCAATGCCAAATACAAGGGATGAGTATTGACAGAAAGAAGGACCATAAAAGTTTTCATAACTGTAAAGCAATACATATCTAGTTACAAATTACAAAATAAGTTCAATGTTGACCTCTGTCATTCCAATGTATCAACTTGGGCGCCTCCTCATATTATGTCCAATGAAAATAACACTTAAGTAATTTCGTAAAATAAACCTAAGTATCATATAACCTCCGAGTGTTGACCTTCCTGATTCAAAGGTAAAAACAGTTATTGTAACAACCAGTTTTAACCTTTTACACTCAAATGTAAAAGCATATTCTCCCAGAATTAACTTCCAAAATGTCAAAGTATTAATCTGTCTTCTAAATAATTAGAGTTAACACTACTGGAACAATGCCCAGTATATTGGCCGTGAAAATGTCCGTAAAAATGCTGGTGATTTTTACAGTGTTTGTCACGGTTAATTTACGGTGGGCCGTGAAACTTATCCGTGACAATGCCGTGGAATGACTGTCGTGAAAAGGCTGTGAAAAGTTTGTGAAAAGGCCGTGAAGAAGTGCCACCAGAAAATTTGAGTGAAAAGACCGTAGAAACCCTGTGAAAAAAAAATGTACACCGTGAAAAAGTCGTGATAATGCATTATGTGCCCATTGTGAAAAGACCATGAAATGTAGATATAGTACAGTATATGCCTTTATTTGTCGTGAAAAGGTCGTGAAAAGGTGCCAACTGAAAACTTGGGTAAAGAGACCGTAGAAACCCTGTGAAAAACAAAAATGTACACCGTGAAAAAGTCGTGATAAATTATGTGCCCATTGTGAAAAGACCGTGAAATGTACATGTACTACTGTGATAAACAGCCATTCACTGATTGTGAAAACTCCTATAAAATGTTAAATGTATTTTTCAGGCCATAATTTAACAAAAAATTTAAATGCTGTTTCAATCAAGTGAAGTGAAATGCCTGAAAACCTAGTGTAAACATCTACAGACAACTTATTTAAGTACAATGCAAGTGAGACTATGAAAAACAATATTCAAATGCTGTATTTTTTTTAGAAATAATTGTGACAAAGAATTTAAATATTAATTTTAATAGAACTGTAGTAATTATGTAAAGAAAACATAAAAGCACACAAATGTCAATGTGATTAAGTAGCTAAAGTCAGCTGTAACATGTATTGTAGAAATTTTGTACATCTCTTGGGTCTGATTTTACCACTTCAGCAATATTTGTCTAATATAATCCTTCACTTCACTGCCCTTTTGAATAACTATTCCAGAAAAACATTTATAGAAGTTCCTGTTAATTCCCAGGAAATATTTTTAACTGAAAAGCTCTTCTTTCCAATTGGATTCCTGAACTATTTTATATAAAGACTGCTATATCCTTTTGCTCTTCATTCCTAGAATAAATAAAGAAACATTACATATATTATACATGTATATAAAAAAATATTTATATATTCAAATTAATTTTTGGCATTTATGTACATACATGTACTTAAAACAGCTACTATATTATTCCATGCAATACAGGACTTCACGGTTAATGACCCCATATTGAATAGGGGGCAGATTTTCATACTGGAGTGAAAATGGTATGAAAAATACTAAAACACTTCATTGAAACAGAACAGCCACTTGGAAACATGCATAGATTTTCCCATATTTTCATACCATTTTCCAGAAAATCTGCCCCTATCCAATATGGCATCATTAGCTAACGAAGTTCTGTATTGTCAACTTATAATATTTGTTTTAGATTTTTTTAAAGACTAAAGACACTTTTAAGACAAACTATTAAATTTAAATGTTTCTTTGAAGCAATAATATGTATGGCTAAAGCCAAACTTGTCTAGACTAAGTAGCCGTAATGAGTCACAGCTATTTATTTTACAGGGGGCCAGGGGCGTAGCAACTTTTACTGCAGGCACATTCGCCATACCAATTATTTTTTAAACACCTCATTGCCATACCAATTATTCTTATGATATGGCACAAACCCTTCTAGAAAGGACATTTTGCCGTACGAATATTAAATACTTTCCCTGCTACGCCTCTGATTAATCCCTTTTGAACTCTGTGTCCCGACGGCCAAGTCAGAAAATACTTAAATAGCTCCCGACAGATTCAAAGGGGGTTACGCCTCTGATTATCAGAATGAACTCCATTTCAGAGATACTTATTGCTATTATAATCATTTCCAATTATCTATGTCTATGTCTACGTAGTGTACTGTACATAAATGTCATTTTTTTTATGTGGCCAGTGTGGGGTAAAGGGCCCCCCTTTTTTTCCCCAAATACATAAACAAAACAAAACCGTAATCGTATTTAAAGGATTCGGTAAGTCTTAGAAAACATTAACCGAAATGATTAAAGGAATCAAGTGCAACAGACTCAAATATAAGTTAATATATCACATGCATGTTTGCGCGGTTTCTGCAAATTCAGTGAAAATCAGTTCAATGGAAATGCTCACAAACGTCATCAACATTTTGGTGATATGATGCATAAAAGAATAAAATATTAATAACTTAACTTACCTCAAACTTGCTGTCACTCGTCTTGCATCTATAAAGTAAATATTAATCGACCTTCGGCGTCTTTCAAATTTCCAACCTTGCGAAAATGTTACAATTACTCTAAAAGAAAGACGAATCCGGATACGGTCTGATATTCCGGGAAATTCTCGTTTTTACATGTTTCGGTTCCAATTAAAATTTATGTTTACATTGTTTATAATAATGTACAGACGAGAAGCAAAATACTTTTCTTTAAATACAAAATATTTATTGGCACAAAGTCATTAATTATAACAATGAATGGTTCCTTTTAAAAGTCAGTCCTGTACAGTAGTATTGCATATAATAATATTTAAACAGACATATATTTATAATGAAAAGTTTATAGGATATTTAGGAAAATGTGAGTGGAAATAATCAGACCATATTACAATAATCACATGGGATGTTTTAACGTGTTGTTTTCAATTTTTTAAATCTGAATTAGGATAAGAAAAAATTGACATGAAAAAATATCACGGCCTTTTCACTGGTTTTAACAACCAGTGTAAAGGCCGTGATATTTTTCATTAAGCATGAAAGGACAAATTATCACGGCCTTTTCACGGG